AGAAATGAAAAGTGATAATATAGGAAGTGAAATTTGAATCACAGGCATATGTTATTACAAAATAAATAGCTAATCAGGGGAAGGTTAAACCTCTATAATATGCTGTTAGATGAACTTAGTAAAGGCAAAATTTTTAACATCTACAATGAACGGATGAGATATCCCAGAGTAAGTGATGCTGACAAGAAACTTCACAATTAAGGAATTTTTGAAATATTTCATGACATGGAAAGCACAAAGGATAAAATGTTGGAAATTGACTCATACTTACAAAGGAACATGACAATTCTATATAGAAGGTGTAGAAAAAGATACTCACGCTGTATTTATAAGTTATATACCGAGAGGAAGTCAAGAACTATTCAAAGACGTATGATATGGTTCAGGCTTTTTGAAAAATACGTAGAGGTAATTCATCGTTGGGTAATTGACAGATGGCTTTCTATGTTATGAAAGATATTTTGCTTTAGGCTAGCAGTAACCATCTTAAGCATTGGATATAACTTTTTAAGACTGTTTAAAAACTATCATGGGTTAAGGGGCTGATTTACATTCTTTATGCTAAACTTGTTAGCCTCAGTTATATGTGCTGTGTGTTTGTCTGCATATGTATTTATGTAAATGTGTCCAGAATGTTGGAAAGCCTTGCATGTAACATTTAAACCTATACCTAGACTTGGAGACTCTGGGAAACCTGGTATCTATTTGCAGATTCTTGTTCATTAAATCAATCAGATGTGTGGTTCAATTCTAGGAGTTGCTGGGGAGTCTGCCCCAACTACAACCACTGAATATTCTCGAACACAATTCTTTTTTTTTTTTTTTTTTTAAAGACAAAATCTTGTTCTGTTACCCGGGCTGGAGTGCAGTGGTGCAATCTCGGCTCAATGTAACCTCTGCCTCCCGGGTTTGGGCAATTCTCCTGCTTCAGCCTCCTGAGTAACTGGGATTACAGGTGCACACCACCATGCCTGGCTAGTTTTTGTGTTCTTTTAGTAGAGATGGGTTTCATCACGTTGGCCAGGATGGTCGCGAACTTCTGACTTTGTGATCCGCCTGCCTTGGCCTCCCAGAGTGCTGGGATTACAGGCGTGAGCCACCACTTGCGACCGTACTCTAACATAATTCAAAGAGAAGTTGGCCAGTTTACTTAATTATTAAGAATGTTTGCCTAAATTGAAATAAAAGGAATTTCCAATTTAATTCTGTATCTTGAGTTTCCAACTAAGGAGAAAAAGAGATGTGTGTCTCTGAGGGTGACTTTTTTTTTTTTTTTTAATCATTTTTATAATTTTAGATGATTTCCTTTCATTGTGGCTTATAAGAAAACTTTAAGAGTATTCAAAATAAAAGTTGCATTCAAAATGACTCTTATGAGTTTCTTGCTAAATTGATGGAAAATTTTATTTAACACTGATAGTGTTACTCCTCCCTGTTCCATTCTAATGATGATTTTGTGTACTTTTGAAACTATAGATAAATTATACATTAAAATTTTTTTTCTATAAGTTAATTTAGAAAGAGCAGTCAATATTCGTAACATTTTCCCATGAAATTCGTGTTATTATAGCCTTGTTAGTTTTTGTTTTTTTACATCTGTAACAAAACTTGACGACATTAATTATTCTTGTCAAGCATTTCCATATTACATTGAACTAGGCAGCTGCACGATACATATTTGTATATATTAGCATTAATAAAGATGTTTAAAGGAAAACTGTAGCAAAGCGCTAGACTGTGTTACTGTGAATTCAAATGCCGTAAATACGACAGAAGTTGAATTTTCTTCACCTGTTTTGTGAGTTTTACCACTAGATGGTGATGGAGGACTGGGGAGTGTGCTGAATTCTGTGTCTACTATGATACTTGTATTATGTTGAAAATCGAAAATGTTTGTGCTTAACTATTTAACTTTAGAAGTCATTTAGGAGTATCCAGAGATTCTTTTATTTATCATGCTGAGCACAATATCTTTTTATATGGTATGTGCTTAGTATTTATGGATTTGTTAATTGGCTTCTTGTGGTGGTTAGTTTGCGGACAGTCTTTATAAGATTTAAATGGTTCCTAAGCTTTATTTCGTCCTTGTTTTCTTGTTTATTTTTTTCTAGTATATCACATTTCCTCATGGTGATCACTACATTTCTTTATGTTTCAGTTGTATTTATTCTCTTCTTTGCATGTGTGCGCACACACACACACACACACACACACACAATTTTGACTTGAGTATTTAAATTTATGCATTCCCCTAGGCACCATTCTCTTCAAACTATGGTTGAGAAGCAAAATACTATCATACTGTTTCAAATTGAGGATAAAATATTTATGAATGAATATAACAGTAACACACACATTGGAAGATTCTCTACAAGATCAGTTTCTCTGAATGTCAGTTTTATGAAGAATAGAAACTTTCCTTTTGGAAATTCTCTGAATATGTTTCTTTTCTGCATAAAAGGAAGAATAAATACAGTATTTATTGCCTTCTGGGAGGATTCTGAAATGCTGAATGTAATCCAAAAGCCCTAAGTAAGAAATTTTGGATTTCAAATTTTAGTTTATTCCCAAAAGCTAGTTTTGAAATAGCAATCAAATGTAATTATTTTCTTCAATATTAATAGAGTATTATGTAGCTTCTGACACTAGCATCATGTATTATTCCCACTGATGTTATTTAGCTCATGTAAATGATTCATTTTTCATTGACCTGGATAAATACTTTTCATTCCACAGCATGGGAATTGGTATGAAATATAAGCAGTGCGATATTGATGGTTTTTGTCATATGACTTTTTTAAAAAATTGGGATGATGATCTCTGTTTTTAAGCCCATGTTTGAAGATATTCCATTGATTTAATAATGCCACATAGGAGAAATAAAGCTACTGTCACATTAAACGTGCCCGGTAACTATATAGCAGTCTAATTTTAGAAATATTAAGGTGGGATTTAAATGTCTTAAAGACCTGTTAGAATTGAAGCCTAAATGAAAGGATTAAATGAGATATGGGATAGAGAAGTACTTACTAAATTTCAAAGTGCTTAATGGAGCCCGTTGATGCTGTTAAAGAGATCATACATTTCATAGCATATATAAACAGGGAAGTAGAGAATATCGTTTTTGAGATTATTGACTGGGAGGGCTGTGGTGTGGTAGAAACAGAGGATGAAGAGGATAGGACATGTTGTACTGAAGGTATTTTCCCAGCCACACTATTGCTCCTTTTTTTTTTTGATGGAGTTTTGCTCTTTTGCCCAGACTGGAGTGCAGTGGCGTGATCTTGGCTCACTGCAACCTCCGTCTCCAGGGTTCAAGAGATTCTTCTGCCTCAGCCTTCCGAGTAGCTGGGATTACAGGTGTGTGTCACCATGCCCATCTAATTTTTGTATTTTTAGTAGAGATGGGGTTTCACCATGTTGGCCAGGCTGGTCTCGAGCTCCTGACCTCAGGGGATTCCCCCATCTTGGCCTCCCTAAGTGCTGGGATTACAGGTGTGAGTCACTGAGCACAGCTTACTCCCCCCCCCCCCTTTTTTTTTGAGATGGATTTTTGCTCTTTTTGCCCAGGCTGGAGTGTAATGGCACGATCTCGGCTCACTGCAACCTCTGCCTCCTGGGTTCAAGCGGTTCTCCTACCTCAGCCTCCCGAGTAGCTGGGATTACAGGCATGCGCCACCACGTCCGGCTAATTTTGTATTTTTAGTAGAGACGGGGTTTCTCCATGTTGGTCAGACTGGTCTGCTCCTCCTTTTTATATATATGTAGGGAAGCTGTAATTTACCCATGACTTTCTGGGGAAAGTGCAGAAAAGAATTGGCCTTTCAAACTACCTTTTCTTAATTAGCTGATCTAAAATATGACCATCTTAATCTAGCTAGTGACACACAATTGGGGGCGGGGATAGCTATGCAAATGACCAACTGAGGTATATGTAAATTCGTGCACTTCAGTGTCCATTGCATTTATAGAATTGGAATCTTGATGGACAGATATTTTGATAGAAGTCCTCAGATAATACTTTTAACCCCTTTGCCACTAACTTCTCTGCCAAACCTGACTGACTTAAAGTAAGACACTAGACACTTAGAGTAAGATTCTTTGTAGTCCCTGAATTCTTTTCTTGTACCTAACAATGATAGTCATTGTTGAGCTAAGTTATTCTTGTACTCTCATTTTTGCTTCTTAGAACTTTGCAGTTTACAAGACTCTAAGTATTGTACTGTGTTATTTGTGTGTGTTTGACTGTTAACCATAACGTCTTTTAATCAGCAAACATGCCTTCGCTCCTCCTCTGTTAATGCATCCCCCACGAGGCATTTATGTTGCTGGAGGACAGTCTCTTACCCAGAGGAATGAAAGGTAGTGTCACAGGAGCATCACAGGAGTGGAGGTGAGGCATGAAGTAGGGAGAGGAGACAGAAGCATTTCTGCGGCTCATTCCTACTTGCTTTTGGAGCCCTGAAGGTGAGCTCTGACCTGGACACAGAGGGTCCTAAAAATGAAGCCCTTAAACACACACACATACGCGCGTGCACACACACACACACAGACACACACCCCCCACACACCCCTACCTGCATTTCTATAGTGCTGAGTAAAGGAAAAAAATAATTTAAAAAAATCCCCACACACAGAGAACGAGGGGATGATCGCCAAAGATCTTAGTTTATAGATGGAAAGTAGTATGTTCTTTTCCTATCCTTGAACTTCAAGGATAGATATAATTTTCTTTTTTATACTTTTTGTTCTCTGCAAAAGTGGCTTCAGAGCAGCAGCTTTTCCTGGAGGATGGCCACAGTGCAGGGACATTGCTGTGGCTCATTCTGCCCTTTCATTCTGCTCCTCAGACTTCCAACCATTAACCCTGCCATTGAGCCATGTGTTACCTCTTGTTTATCTCTTTGCTGTGTCTTAATGTTTTCCTTAGTTTCAAATTATGACCCCATTTCATATCATTTTAGTTCTTTGAATTCATATTTTTGATGGATTCAAGCAAGGATAACGAAAAGAAACATTTATTTACACTTTGTACATACAGATTCCAACAAACAATAGAAGGCCTACACATCAGTGTAATCATAATATATGCGAACTTCTGATCTTCTCACACTTTGCAGTGATCTGATGCTTTCACTCCTGGTTCTGATATTTGATTTTTTGAACAGCCTTCTTGAAAATGACCTACACATGAAAAAGTAAATTATTGGATCCAGACACACATTACACGCAGACAAGAAAAGTGTCATTTCTTTGCAGTAATATAGGATTTTATGTGCAGATTCATCTAAAAGCCTGTCTAATTGACTAAAAGTAAAAGGAATTCTGCACAAGTGATATGGTAGAAAGCAGGTAAAAAACACAGCCACAACAACCCTGATGCTCTGGTTATGTTTTCGCTTTCGGCTTGACTGACTGATGAATTGCCTGCTGGATTTGTGGATGTACCTGGATATGGCTATGTAACATCCGATCAGAATCACCAGCACAGCCACAAACAAGCAGCTGTTCACATAGGTGACTGCCGTATGCCATTTGACCCCCAAAGGACTTTTAAGTTTCAGGCAGTCATGGATATTGTCCTCTGTTGGTTGACCGTTTGTTAGGATGATGTTTGGCAAAGACAAAACAGCCATGATCACCCAAACACAAACAGATAAAACCTTTGTAAATGTTATGCTATACATCCGAGAGTCTCCAAATGGCTTGACCACCTTCAGATAGCGATCAATGCTTATCAGCCCAAGGAACACGATGGAAGTATACATGTTTGCATAAAACAAAACTGAAGTGTATCTGCAGAGAATAAACTTGAAGTACCAAGGTCCAAATCCTGCATCATGGACTATTCGAAATGGAAATGTCAGTGTCATGATGAGGTCTGCAACCACTATGTTTTTGAGATAGAATATGAAGCTGGTTTTATTCCTAATGTGGAAGAAGATCCACACTGCTAAACCATTCAGCAAGATGCTTGCCACAAATATAATGAGATAAAGCACCGGCAAGACAATCGTGTCAAATTCATTGTGAAGGGTGGTGTTCTTTCCTGGTCCGTCGCTCCTGTTGCCCGAATTGTGACTCTCTTGGCCGTGCAGCTCGTTATCTGTAGGAGAAGTGGGGAGATGGGACTTCAGTGCTTGGCAACCGTGCCCACAGGCCACTAGGTTCCCTTACAGACCCAACTTTTTGTTATTTCAGGTGAACTTAAAGATGTCATCAATGATTTAAAGAGTAAAGGTAGCACATTGTTAATGTTTTGAGTGGTCAAAGAATTAGCGACCTTCTCTCACTACCCTGCCTCCCTCATATCAGGACCGTTGAGTAAAAAGTCCCATTTCTGATCCCCTATGCCAGCCTTTTGAAGATAAATATACCAATGTAAATTATCCCGATTCTTACTTCCATGTTTGATATCATTACAAATATAATCAACAAAACCTGGAGAGAAAATTGAAATTTTCTATAACAAGGAAATAACAATAGCCAACACATGGTTTGTAGTCTTTGGCACCCTCTTTGAATACATCTTCCCCTCCCCTGCCTCAGTTTTAAGCTGTTTAATCATTAAGAATTAAGAAGGTGTAAAACTAGTGGGTCATTTTGAATTTTTTGCCTATGACTTTCTTATAGTACTTAAGATCTTTTAGGGACCATTGATAGGAACAGAAAGAAAGTGTCTTGGCAGTTTTGTAAATAAAAAGAAAATCTACTGTCTTCTAAAGTGAACATATGAAAAAAGTCCTGGATAGATGTAGATCTGACTTGCTGATTCTCTGAAATCTGTTTTCACCTTAGAATTTAAGGTGTAGGCTGGTATAAAGTTGCCTCTGATTATTATAAATATTTACACATCATCTGTTAATTCTTCATTAAAATGCATTTGTATAGTCAAGAATATCCACAAATACGTTTTTGTGTAGTCCAGTGATAAATGTTGATTTCGTTTTCTCATTCTTATTAAGTTTTGCAATTTTACAGTTTATTGCCAAGGAGGACAACTTGTTAAAAGTAATTGCAACCTGATATATATTTTTTTTGTTTACAAGGCTAGGTTACACCTATTGCATTTATTGTGGGAATTTTTAAACCTTTTGCTTTTTTGGAATTTTTAGTTTCTGTTGTTAAAGACCTATACCATATCACTGCATCATATAATCAGTGAATTGGGTCATGAGCATTTGACTTATGTAGTAGCCATGGACATGGGCCTCTCATGTCTCCTGTGGGGAGCATGATGGACAGCCAGCTCCTGTGGGGATCTACCACCACATTCTTGCTGCTGCCATGCTTCCCATGGACTGCTCTGGGCCTGTAACTGAGCATGGCAGGGATACCAAGACAAACCTGTTTTTGTAAGAGGAGGGGTTTCTCTGACAAAAGACTTTGGCTGGAGGAGTACTTACCAGTCTTCAAACTTTTTCTTTGAACTTTCTTCACACTGCACTGTTCCTACTCAATCTTCCTTCCTTCTTTCTCCCACAAGTGATTGGAAGGCTGTGCCAGCCTTCTGCTTGCCCCATTTTCCCTGGTAGCCATTTTCCCCAATAAATCTCTTGGCCGTTTAAACACATTTTATTGTCATTGTTTTTTGGGAACCTGAACTAATGAAATTAATTTATAAATTCACCTTTTGGAGGTAAGATTAGAAGGAAGGTCACTTCTGAATTTTTACTTCCCTCTAATTAATAATATTTACTGTAGTTATAATTATGTTTTGGAATGGTTTTGTTATTGAGATAACGCCATAAATTTAAGCCCTCACTGCCCTGCACACAGGCAGTTTAGTATCTGTTTTGGTCCCTTCTTTGAGGAGAGAAACAGGAAAGTTTTGATGATTAAAATCCAAAAACAGATTCCTAAATTGCTGTTTGACATCTAAGTGCAGGCTGTTCTTAAGTAACCTTGTCCTCTTCCTAATTCTTTCCCTTTTATTCCTTACTGTGAGTGTTTTTAAAAACTGGTTTCCCTGGCCTAACTATCCTTACACAGGCTAGTAATTTATATCTGGACTAGCCTGTTATGAGATCCATGGTATTACTAAGCTTTACAAGTTAAAATGCCTGATTCAGCAGCCATCTATATTACTACTGCCAGTTTATAATATTTCCTTGTATAGTATCATTTAAGCCTATTTTGATTTAATGTAGTCTTGGCTGTTTTTGTATCATAAGATCCAAATCAGTATCAGTGACATTAGGAGCTTCTTAAGATGTGTGGCTTTAACTGAGTTGTCTGCTTGAATTAATTTACCCAATTAAATGATTAGCAGTCACTTTCATCTAACCCGGGATAGAACCCTTAGGGAAATAGAGAGGACATGTGAGTTTAAATCAGAATAAAGAGTCCAGCTGAGGGACACAGCCTGAAAAGGAGCAGCCATGTCATCTCCTGAAGTGCTGGCTGTGCCTTGTAACAGTTACTGGTGAATTGCTTTTCAAAATAATTTTAAATACAAATTCACGAGCTACAGCATACTTGGCAGGGAATATTTCAACTGCTGGTGTTGGTAACCTGGGGATCTGCTATGCATACCTATCGTGGAGTGCAAGAACCCCTACTTCACAATGTTGCCTAGGGATTGCCTGTCAGTTCCATTTATCATTATAATATTTTGGAGTTTAATTTATATGAACACATTCTTATTAAATGATGATTTTGATGATTTACCTAACAATTATGGTTATTATTAAAGATAGTCTCCAATCAGAGTGTCAAAAAAGGTTGTGTGTGTGTATGTATATATTTATAATATCTATATATATTTATATTAACATATTTATATATATAAATACATATATATATATTTATAAATTAAAAAGATCAAGTAGGATTGACCTCTTTCCACAGTGGTTATTGAACTGTTTTGTGGCTTCGAGACAGTCTGGTGTTGAACTTGTTGACTGTGTAACCTCACGGTATTTGCTTTCTTAGTTTATGTATAGGATTAACATTTTGGACTATAGGACTTCTTAATTCAATGGGATAGGTCTAGGCCTGGTTATTATTTCATTCACAAATTTCACATTTCGGCAACACAGCTTAAACAAATTATGGTTAAAGCCTGTTATGAGTTATTTGCTGAAACAATATAGTAGTAGAGACGAAAAATGGTTTGTAAGAAGCAGATGAGCCATTACTCATCTGGATGCTCTGGAAGGCTCAAAACTTAACTTTGAGAGTTTCGTGTGATGAATTTGTTTTTTAGAATTAAGTCTATATCATATTCTTTTTTGCCAGCTAATGCCCGTCATTTATTCTCTGTCATTACCTTAAATATTTCCAAAACTTATGGGTGTACTCAGAAGCATTTCTCTATATGATGTTTCCACTCAGTAACATTGACCACTAAAAGTGAATGACTTTCTTCACCCAGGCAGTTTTATCATGTTGTTCTTCCCTGACAGTAAAGAACTTGGCCAAGTTAGGGAACATCTTTAATTGACAATAGCTTGGTGACTCAATTAAGAAAAATTAGCAGCTGTTTTACAGTGTAAAGACTGTTTTCTCACAATATGTGCATGCAGTGTTGGATATTATCAAACATGATTTCCCCATCCCTTCTTGTTTACTAGGGTGGTATTCCCTGGATTGTATAGTGCAGGGCTTGACACAGAGCGATAATTGAGAGTAAAACTTCCTTTGGTATTCTCTCTGACTCTCATTCCATTTCCTTTTAAATTAACAAATGCAGTGACATAAGAACTCAGTTTACTAGTTCCATAGTAAATTATTTTATGCCACATGTGCGGGTGGTATTTGTTTGGGACGTAAGGGAACTGTGGCTATCTTTGCAGGGGGAATAGGTTTGTGCATGTGTGTGTGCAGGACTGAGTATGTGTGTTGGGGAATGCTTGGGCTTTGTAGCTAGATATAGCACAAACTACATGTGGGCTTAAAAATTTAAATTTAAAGTAAGCATAATTTAAAAAATTAATTTCCTCAGTCATACTAGCTATGTTCAGGTTTCCCGGTAACCACATCTGGCTACTGGATTGACCAGTGCAGATATAGGGAATTTTCATCAATGCAGAAAGTTCTATTTGACGATGCTGGTTTAGCCTCTTCATAACTGTAAAATGGAATACATAGCCATCTTGCTGGATCATCTGAGAGTTAAATGCTTTGCAGACATTTTGAGTACAGTATCTAGTACTTAGTTGGTGTGCATTCTATAACATAAAGCTTAATTACCATTTGTCTTGTTCATAGAGTCACATTATGAATGACAGAGTAGGGAAGAATCTGCCACTTTTGCCTTTGGTGAAGCTACATCATTGTTCACTGGGACGTGTCACTTGGCACAAAATGTGAAAGTATCAACATATGTCACTGCTCTACCTGCCAGGTGGGAATGAAATAATAAAAGTCATTCAAATTATAGGGTGTCACTATCATGGCACAGCTGCCTAGGTATGATCATTTTCTTCCTTTCCTTTCCTTTCCTTTCCTTTCCTTTCCCTTCCCCTTCCCCTTCCCCTTCCCCTTTCCCTTTCCCTTCCTCTTCCCCTTCCCCTTCCTTTCCTTTCCTTTCCTTTCTTTTTTTCTGATACAGAGTCTTGCTCTGTCACCCAGGCTGGAGTGCAGTGGTGTGATCTCGTCTCACTGCAACCTCCGCCTGCTGGGTTCAAGTGATTCTAGTGCCTCAGCCTCCCGAGCAGCAGGGACTACAGACATGCGCCACCACACCTGGCTAATTTTTTGTATTTAGGTATGATCATTTTCTAAATAGTTACCCTGTAGACTAGGTCAGTGTTATCTCTGGCCTCTTGGGGAACCTCATGAACCTTGGTTTAAACTATTAAATCTGGAAAGTAATATGTGATTCTAGTTTGTTTAAAATCTTCCATAAATGTTATTAATTTAATCCTACTTGTCATTTTAGAGATGATGTCTAGATGAAACAAAGTTTAAAACAAAATGATAGTAAGCTAAATTTGTCTCAGTGATACTATCCTGTGTGTTTACTGTTTTATACATAAGGAAACACAAAGCTAAATGCTGGTTTATTTTGTTAGTTGGTTCTCTGACCATTAAACTCCCCAAATTCCCAAACAGTGAAAATAATAGTCATTGATAAAGTAAGATTTTCTTTACATCTCTTCCGACGGCTTACTTGGTAATTTTGCAAGTGTCAAGTTGAGCCCCATTCTTCAGTTGTGATGCACTGTAAGCAAAGATGCGTGTCAGGAAACACTTGGGGACAGTTGAGGCGTGGGTTCACCATAGGTTATTCCTGGTTTGATTTCTGGGGAGAAAAAGAAAAATGAGGAAAGAATCAGTTGGGAAGGAATTTGAAAATATAACATATTGGTCTTTTCAGTTAAAGCGATTGCCTCCACGATTCAGAAAGCATGTGCTCTTTGGAGATGAACACCTGGGCCACACAAGAGTTGCCCTCTTTCATAATTCCCTGCTGGGAGTTATGTCTTGTGGATGACTTTGGCTACATACCTTAACTTTTCTGAGCTTTGCATTCTTTACGACATCTTAATAAAGGTTAGCTGAGACCATATGTGCGTGCAATGTTGGATACTTTCAAACATGATTTCCCCCATCCCTTTCCCTGCATCTGGATCAGTTCCCTGTTCTCTGGCTTCCATCACGTATTGACCATAGAAAGCAGAATTCCTGGGAACTGTTCTGGAAAGTGCAGCTGAAGTAGAATGTGCTTATGGGACAGTTTACTGTAAGGGGAAGTCACACGCTTTCTCATGAAATAAAACCATGTGGGACTTTCATGTCCCATCACTGATGTTGCTTAAAGAGACCCCAAGTAACCTCATTCTGTCCAAGCACAAAGCAAACTTGGGGCTGATGTGAGCAGTTACTTTTGTCCCTGCATATGTGCTAAGATAGCAGGGAAAGGCACATGGGAGGCAGGAGTATATGTAGGAGTTTGCAGTAAGTGGAGAGGCACTTATTTCTTTTTATGTTCCTGTGTGTGTCCTTCTCTTCTGTTTGCAAATATCACATGTAGCTAAGGTACTTGATTTGGTAGTAGATAGAAAAAATGGTTTTTAATTTTCCATGATTGTCTCCACCTAGAATCCACTCTTTTGAGAGTTTAGATAATCTATCCATACCTCACCTTGAGTATGTGGTACACAGCGGCATTCAGAAGGTGTTTTTTGGTTAATGCAGCATAGGCATTGATTAAGGTTCTTAGAATCCCTCCTTTTGGGGTTCCAGCATCACATTATTTTGTAATGTAAGTCAAGGAGGTAAAACTCTACTTTCTTTTTATTTATTAAAGTTTACTGGGGAGAAAGACTGAAGCTGTTAATTTTCTAGACTTTGTAATAATGATCTTTGGATTTCAGTAAGCTTAAAAAGCTTGAATCCAGTTTCTCGTGGAAACATTTCAAGGAAATTACCTGATAAACACATTTTTAGTTTTATGTTTCTCTGTTCTCAAGTTGTACGGTTGTCCTCTTCAGATGGCTTCCTGTAACCTTCCTCACTGACAGTTGCAGTAAGAGAGAGAGAGAGCAGACAGTTGGCCAATAAGGAGGACGTAGAGAGAGGAGACTGGGAGAAAATATTTGCATGTTACATTTCTGATAAAGGATTTGTATTTAGAATATGCAAAGAACTTTTACAGCTTCTTAATAAGGAGAACACAACCCAATTTAAAAAAAGTCAAAAGATTTGTCTAGACATTTCACCAAGAGTGCATGGAAGGACACTGAACATCGTTAGTCAGTAGGGAAATTCAAATGAGAACCACAGTGCTATACCATCTTGCGTCTACCAGAATGGCTGGATCTGAAAAGGACAGACAGTAACAAGTGTTGCTGAGGGTGGGGAAAACAGGACCCCTCATACACTGCTGATAAGAAATCAAAGTGGTACAGCCACTCTGGAAAGAGCTTGGCAGTTTCTTAAAAAGTTAAAACCAAATGTGTCATATGACCCAGTAGTTCTACCTCTAGGTATCTAGCCACGAGAAATGAAAACATATACCCATGCAATGACTTGTATGCAATTGTTTATAACAGCATTATTCATGATAGTTAAAAGCAGAAAGAAGCCAAGTGCTGACTGGAGAGTAGATGAGTCAACTGTGGTATAGGCAAAGGATGGAATATTACCCAGTAAAAAGAATTGAAACACAGCTATTGTATAGATGAACCTTGAAAACGTTTTGCATGAGAAGGAAGCCAGACACCTAAAGACTACATGTCTTTAGGTTAAATGTCCAGAAAAGGCAAATCTGTAGAGGCAGAAAGTGTCTGCTGGGGTTGGGGGCAGGAGTGGAGAGTATGAGAGATCTTATTCTTTTGCTCCTTAATCCTGTGTTATTGTATGGTAAGGCAATTCTTGAATTATAATTACTAACTAAAGATAAGGAGTTATTTTTGTAGTGTTAAAGATCATGGAATGTGAAAGTCAGAACATGCTAAATTCTGGTAACTCAGAGGTCACGATAGACTTTGGGGATATCTGCTTGCCCCATAATCTTTCGAATCAGGGGAACAATAATACCTACTCTATAGTATCTAGCATCCTTCCTTCTTGAGGTTAAATTGAATATACATTTATAAATTAAGTGCTTTATAAATGCCAGTTTCTGCTTCTGTTATTTCCATTAATCTTTGCCTAAATTAAATTCAAGATCGTGTTCCTCTTATTGGAACTCTCTGGTTTAACCAAACTGCAGACTCTCAGGTGATATGCCTGAGTTTAGTTCCCTACTTTTCTTCATAGCCATTCCTGCCCTGTGAATGACCTCCTTTCTCCCCTCTCTCCCTACCTTGGAAATCTCTACTACTTCTTCAGTAACACCCATAGCCTGATCTCTTTCATAAGGTCATTTACTAAGAGTCTGCTCATATTTCAGGCCGTGGAGTATATAAAGATGAGAAAGTACATTTCTGTCCTCAAGTTTAGAGTCTAGTTGAGAATCCAGAAGTAAACAGACCATTTCAATATCGAATGAGAGGTGTGGGATGCTGTGAAGATACAGAGGTGTACTCAAACTGAGGGGAAGCAAGGATTACAGAGGTTCCATGACAACTATGATGCCCAGGTTGTGGCAGGTTTGCCCAAGGTCTAGTCAGAAAGGAGCACATGGAAATGCTGAGTGTAGCCAAAGATAAGGTATAATAGTCTGCTGAAGAACTGGTGACAGCATGTAGAGATGGAGATATATGACAAATATGAGGCATCTTAAAGAATTTGTGGCTGAATGATACTAGTGAAAAGGGTTAGAAGAATGTTGGAGGCCTCCCAGGTATTTGACTATAGATTTTAGTCTCTTTTGCTGACGTAGGACCCATGAAAGGACAAGCACGTATTGGGATGGGTGGAGTTTAGTTTTGGATTGGTTGATTTCATGATTCCTGTGTAGTATGCATGTAGAGGTGTCTACTAAATGATTAAAGAGACAGGTCTGGAGCTTGGAGAAGTACCCCTGGCTGGTGATGTCTATCTAAGGCCAACATAAAATAGGTGATAGAAGAAGCTGTGGGAATGGATGAGATTGTCCAAGATGAAACTGCACAGTCGGCCATGAATGGTGGCTCATGCCTGTAATCCCAGCACTTTGTGAGGTGGGTAGATTACCTGAGGTCAGGAGTTTGAGACAAGCCTGGCCAACATAGTGAAACCCTCTCTCTACTAAAAAATACAAAAATTAGCCGAGTGACGTGGCGTGCACCTGTGATCGCAGCTACTGGGGAGGCTGAGGTAGGAGAATCGCTTGAACCCAGGAGGCAGAGGTTGCAGTGAGCTGAGATCACACCACTGCACTGCAGCCTGGATGACAGGGTGAGACTCTGTTTCCAAACAAACAAACAAACAAAAAACCCCAAACCACACGGTGGAGTGAGAATAGCAGAGAGCTAATGTAGACTTTTTAATGGAGCAGTCTTAGGGTGAGCGGAGTGCCTGAAGGAGAGGCCAGAGAGTTGGGAGGATTACCAAAAAGGAATAATGTCATGTGAACCAAAAAGAGAGTTTACGAAATGAAGAATTGTGACTAGTTTTATCCTATGGGGAAAGTCAAGTGACATAGGACAGCAAAGTGCCATTGGATGGGATTCAGCAACGAAAAGGTCATTGTCTTTGCCAGTGCTCCATCTGCTGGGGGGCCCAGGGTGTTTTGAGGAGAGAAGCCTAATGACAGAGGGTTGAGTAATGTTTGCTAGGTGAGGAAGTGGAGGCAGCAATCTCAGAAAACTCTTTCAAAAAAAGAACATGCCTGTGACGGGAAGGAGACAGAGAAGATGGGAGGTGGAGATAGATAAAGGATTAATGGAGGGTTTTCTTAAGCGTATCATTTAATGTCTGGCATTTAAAAATGTTCCGTCTGGGCGCGGTGGCTTACGCCTGTAATCCCAGCATTTTGGGAGGCCGAGGCGGGTGGGTCACCTGAGGTCAGGAGTTCGAGACCAGCGTGGCCAACATGGTGAAAACCCATCTCTACTAAAAATACAAAAATTAGCTGGGCGTGGTGGTATACACCTGTGGTCCCAGCTATTTGGGAGGCTGAGGCAGGAGAATCGCTTGAATCTGGGAGACCTTGCAGTAAGCTGAGGTCGCGCCACTGCAGTCCGGCCTGGGCAACAGAGCGAGACTCAGTCTCAAAGAAAAAGTTTTTTTCTAGCTTGGATTAAAAAAAAAAAAAGAATCCTGCCTTGACCTCTAACCAAGTATGGTGGCACCATGGTGGAGTGCATAGAGCAAGGATTTGATTCTCTGATTCTCTGGATTACAGCCTGAGCTCTGTTGCTTTTAGCTTCTGACCCTCCATTTCTGCCTGTATAAAATGGGTATGATGACTCGTCCATTATAGGATGACTGTGAGGTTAAAAATGATGAACCTTTACAAAGCAGCCTGTGTACTTGTGCAGGGTGGAGCTGAAGTCATTTTAGTTCCTGCTGTGTATCGTAGGTACGCAGTTGAATTTATTTAATGCTTCATAGGTTGGACAAGGGGTTGGGGGGGGTGGATCCTTGCACCTTGTTTATGCTGAGATGGCTGTGTGGCTGGTGGCCTCAGCTGCCCTCTCCGGAGTCATTTGACTGATACTTTAGCTCCAAGAGCTTGCCCTTTCCTTTAAATTGTCTCAGAGCCTCACCTGCCTGCTGTCTTTCTGAACGATCAGTGCCTCAGCTTCAGGGTTCCCTGTGTGCTTTTACTACAGTGGCTCTGCATTGTCTGCATGTCCCAGCACTTGCAGGGTGTTGCAAGGAAGATTGCTTCAGTGGTAGTAAAGGGCTTCGTTCCAGCACTTGGATCCTGGGCGGGAATCCTGCCCTGCCACCTACTGTTCCTTCAGCTGAGAGCTGATGAAACCACACAAGAATGTGATGTTTGTGGTAGGCCCAGGTTTCACAGTCATTCCTGAGGTTAGATGGTATCGCTGCTTAGAGACCTGGTTTTTTTCCAGCCACCCATTGGTATTTTCCTTTGGCTATTTTACTAACCGTGTTTCTTTGTTGTTGGTTGTAAGCTACTTTTAAAATGAGGGTGGTGGAAAAGGATTAACACATTCTCAGTTTCTGCTTGCTTTGGGACCCCAAACTTGGTGGTTGATACCTTAAGCAATCCTCAGAGCAACCCTAGGACCTAGATATATTTCCACCCCCGCCAGGTAGGAAGATACGAGATTCAGACAGTTTAATTAACTTGCCTTGACTCACACTGAGTAATGGGTAGAGCTGGGATTCATATAAAATCCAATAGAAACTGAAATTGCAGTTCTATTATACTGTTGTGGAGTAAAAGTGAAGAATGATTCTGGGG